ATAATCTGTTCTGCATATAGGTTGAAAAGGTATGGAGATAGGATGCATCCCTGGCGTACGCCCTTCCCAATTTTGAACCATACAGCGTTCCCTTGCTCTGTTCTGACGACTGCCTCCTGGTCCAAGTGTAAGTTTCCCATTAGAACGATCAAGTGTTCTGGGATTCATTAAAATTAAAAAGTAAAAAAAAAAAAAAACGACCATGTCTTGGGTCAAGTGCACCTTGGTCTTTAAACTAACATTCTTGCTCTTTAGCGCTTTGGAGAGTGTCTCAATGCAGATTTCCCCAGTACAATATATCTTTTGATTTCTTCACAGCTATTACCGTGGGTATTGATTTTTGGATCCAAGGAAAATCTGTGTAAAGCTCTGGGCATATATTTATGAATGTAGATCTTGTTAGGTGCCATCAGGTTGGTTAAGACCCCTAGTGGCCCTATGAACAACAGTTTGGAGCCTTATCCGATACCATCTTCACAACCTCCACCATGCTTGATCCATTGTAGTCGCTCTATCAGTCCACCTTGTTCAAGGTCTTCCTCTCCTTTATTGACTGACTCTCATATAGATGAAATCTGAACTTGACTGTCATTGGTGGTTATAGAGAGGTGTGAGGGACCTCTGGTAGGCTAGTGGGTAAGGTGCTGCCAACTCAAAGGTCTGCAGTTTGAATCCACTAGCTGCTCCTAGGAGAAAGATGGATGGTCTCCTTGCACACAATTGACTGCCTCTAAAAACCCACTGGGGGGTCAGCTACAAGTGGGTTCCAACTCGATGATACATAACAACAACAACGATGATGAGAGGTGATATTACTGATTATTTTCCCTCTGTGGAATGTCTTTGGAAGAAGGATTTAAATATAACAGGCCTTCAGAAGCCCTCTGTATAGCAAGAGCAGACTAACAGACAAGACAACTGAGGCTGAGCCCTCAAATTTGGAAACACAAACAGTTGTAAGAGGAAATTAGATGGACTGATACAGTAACTGGAGCAGTGAGGGTTGGTGTGTCGGAATTAGTGAGACTGGCTCAGGAGGGAAGGGTTCAGAGCTGCTATACATAGGGTCACAGGTGACTCGACAGCACAGAACAATAACAATGGAATGTCTGAATTTTGTATCATGAACTCATATTAATTTTGTCTTGTTTCTTTTTTCCAGAGTCATTGTTGCTCGCCAGTAGTATGATGCATTGGTGGCCAGCTTTGAAAAGCAGGCACTGAAGCACCAGGTCTGTCACTGCACCTGCTTTGCCAGGCTTGATGAGGGGCCGGAATGTGGAGGGGTGATGGTGTGTCTTCCACGCGAGGCTAATCTTTTTCCTTCTTCCTGGTTGGAAACAGGCTACTTTGGCAAGCAACAAGTCATGGTATGTGGTGGTGGTGGTGGTGGTGGTGGTCTGTTTCAGTTCTTTCCACTTTGAAATGTTGACTTTCTCATTAATAGATGGATTTGAATTGTACTGCATAATTTTTGGGGTGGCTGATAAGAACTCCTGATTTTTTAGAGACTGAGAGGGAACAAAACTTAATGCTTATTTGATCCAACTTTGTTTTTTGCTTTAAAACCAAAGTTTATTAGGGCATTATGATCATCATAAGAGTCCGGAATGAGGGTTGCAGAGTGGAGTATACTTGGGGTGAGGGTGGGGGTGTGTGGGGTAGTGGGGGAATTGTGTACCAATGAAGGAGTTTTTCTTTTGCTTTTCAAGGAGAGGAGTGAACTGGGAGTGGGGGTAGGGGTGAGAGTGGGTGGGGAGAAGAATGCAACAATGAGTGAATGGAATTCCAAAATCTCTGTAGATGTTCATTTAAATTAATAATAAAATAGTAAAAAAAAAAACACCCAAAACAAAGGTTATTCTTTTAGCATATGCCTATTATCCCCATACATATATGAGTATTTAAAAAGAAAACTTGCCATTATATATTGTTTGTGTTATTTTGTTCATTTTCTGAGGCTGAAGCTTATTAAAATCAAGGGGTATGAATGGCAGGGAAATACACTTAATGTTTATTTGACTCTTTCCACAGCTCTTTCTAGATTTCCAATTAAACTTCAACATTCCTGCCTAAGCATTTCCTTGTGACAATGTCCTTGCCCCTTACAGAAGAGCAGAAGAAAAAGATCGAGGAGAATCGACAAAAGGCTCTGGCACGTCGAGCTGAGAAATTATTAGCAGAACAGCATCAAAGCACAACTAGCTCTTCCCAGAATCCCCCCCGGAATCCTTCAAAACCAGTTACCCAGGATGTCGTTTTCAAGCAGAAGAACCCCACTTATTCATCGAATCCCCGCAAAAGTCAGCTTAACACTCCAGAACCAACAGAAAAGGCCTGGAAGAACCAGGAAGAGAAGACCACCAGCTGCCCAAGCCACAGGCCATGGAGTCAGAAAACTCTCAGCGGGGTCGTCCCTCCCCTGGCCCAAAGCTGTAAGAACGCCAACCAACAGACCTTGGCTTTTGAGTTAGGCAATGGTCACGTTCAAGCGTCACACAAGACTACACTGACACCCACTGCTAATGCAACTCATGGGCTTTTGACTAAATCAGTGAGGTCCCAGGAGACACCAGCCTCTTCCCTTGGACAGCGTCCTGGGGATCCTGTGTTACTGACAGAGAGAGTGCCACCCTCCGCCTCTGGACAGACCGTTGCTGATGTCCGTTATGGCTCAGGAAAGGTAACCTCTCAGACAGAAGGAAGACTTCTACAGGATCCAGGACAGTCACTCCCAAAGGAAGTAAGCTCGCAGAAGGGCCTGTGCATAGCAAATGGAGACCGTTTCCAGGTGAAGATTGGGTACAATGTGGAGCTGCTTGCAGTGTTCAAGAGTCTGCCCAGCAGACGTTACGGTAACGAGCTGCTTGTCATATTCAAGTAGTGAGTTTTTTCTGTTTCTATAATCTCTTCTAATCTTAGTTTCTCATCAATCTTGAGAGAGGTGTTGGCACATTCTATCCAGTTTTAAAAGCACTCATTTTTAGCTTAAAAGCACTCATTTTTAGTGTGTTTCCTTTTTATAATAGACTTTCCCTCAAACAGCTGCCAAACTTGGGGCTTCCGTGTGGACGGCGGGGTGACTGCTCACGTCTGGTGCTTTCTACGTATTCAGTGATTTTTTTTTTCAGATATTATTTCTATTTTAAACTTGATTGAACTACCTCAACAAAGTCAGTTAATACTCAGGTTAACTCCGTTGGAAGGGTAGAGCCGGGGGTGGGGGGGTGTAGTGCTGTTGTGCCTTGGAATCCAGCTCCTTGTCAGGACACTTTGCCTGACTAACTGGGGTTCACGTCCCGGTTCTGCCAGAATTCGTGTACCCTTTTAGGCGGCTCCCCTGAATTCCAAGCCTTAGTTGAATTTGTTTCAGTCAATAAATAAATAAGTAACGCCTACTTGTTGCTCTTGGTATGTGCTGTCGTGTTGCTTGCAACTCATAGCGACCCTGTGTATCTTAGCCGTGAAACCTGCTCTATCCTGTGCCAACCTTACTGTCTAATAATTTATTATAATCACCTTAACCAGGACGTGCATATATATGTAAATGTATCAGTGTATCCATGCCCTACTTGTACAGTGGGGATAATAATATATTCTACAATTAACTAATTATAGGTTTTATTTTTGTTTGTGTTGTTGGGGTTTTGAAGAATTAATGACTTACATCTTTTAATAAATCCTGGTGGCACATTGGTTAAGCACTAGGCTCCTGATTGAAAATTCACCCATTAGAACCACCTATGGCAGAGAGATGTGACAATCTGGTTTGGTGTTGTTTTTATTGTTGTTGTTGTGTACCGTCAAATCGGATCCGACTGGCACAGGAGGTGATTGCCCCTCCTCCAGTGGAGCATCTGGTAGATTCGAACTGCTCGCCTCTGGAATTGCAGTGCAGCTTCTTGCCACTAGGCCACCAGAACTCCCTTGTGACAATATGTTTTTATAAAGAAAGATTAAAGTCTATGGGGCAATTCTACACTCTGCCCTGTAGAACCACTATGAGTTGGAATTGCCTTGATGGCAATGGGTTTTTACAGGGCTTTAGCTTATTGTCTTTACACTCTAGGAGTTTTGCGAGTCGTCAGTATTGTTAAGTGAGCTGTTTTGATTTGGCGTTCCTTTAGTCAGGTGTGCATGCGCACCTGCAGAACACGAGCTTTGGAGTGCTGCCTTGTGGCCGTGCTGAGTTTTTTGGTTTTCTTTCAGATCCTGTCACCAAGATGTGGAACTTCAGCATGACTGACTACAGACCCCTGAGTAAGTATCTGTGTGCCGTCCTCGTACAGGGAAGTGCTGGGACACTTCCTCCAGAGTAGTGGCCATGTCCCGGCTGTGGTACAAGGGGCTTTATCTTTTTTAATTTTTTAAAAATTTTATTATTTGTATGTGTACCATCAAATCAGATCTGACTGGTACAGGAGGAGATTGTCCCTCCTTCTCCAGCAGAGCCTCTGGTGGATTAAAACTGCGAACCCCTGGGATGGCAGTGCAGCTTTGTGCCTCTAGGCCACCAGAGCTCCCAAAATTATTTATTTTCTTTTCTTGTTGTGTACCTACAAGTGCCTTTATTGATGGTGAAAGTTTTCAGGGCACCATCTGTATGCTCTTCTTCACATAGAAGGTCATTGGTAATATTAAATGTCTGGTGGCCTGGTGGTAAGAAGCAGCGTTTCAATCCCGAAGGTATGCAGTTCAAACCCACCAGTTGCTCTACAGGAGAAGGATGGGCAATCTCCTCCCATACGATTAACTTCCTCTGAAAACCTGCTGGAGAGTCAACTATGGGTTGGTTCCAACTCGATGGCACACAATAACAACAACACTAAATAGGGAACTCTGGTGGCTTAGTGGTAAGGAATTAGGCTGCCAACACAGAGGTACGCAGTTTGAATCCATCAGCTGCTCTGCAGGAGAAAGATGGGCAGTCTCCTCCTATGTGGTTTATTGCCTCTGAAAACTTGCTGGAGGTTTAGCAAGGGGTCAGTTCCAACTTGACGTACACAACAACAACACTTAATAGGAAGCTCTGGTCGCCTGGTCTACAGGAAGTTGTGCTGCTAACCCAAAGGTTAGATCCGGCTGGTTTCAATCTTCAGAATTTCCTTTAGTGCCATATACCACCCCAAAAACCCAAAGGAGGGTCAGATCTGAGTTGCTTCTGACTTAGGACCAGTGAGTGAGTGAGAAGCTCACATCGCCTGTGCTCAGCTTCTAACCAAAAAGTCAGCGGTTTGAACCCACCAGTTGCACTGATTGGTTCCTCTTTGTTGTTTTAATATTTTTCCAAGTATGTTGTCTGCTAATAATAATACAAACTCTAAGTTGCATTTCTTGCACATATCTTTACTTGGTGATTTTGTTTTTAAAGTCAGTTTTTATTTCTGACACGTTCGTTCTAAGTCATCAAATTCACTACTTGGTAAAATGCATCAGTGATCGTTAAAATCCTGTGTAAAGCTTTGTGTTCATAGCCTGAAAAGCCAATTTTCATCTCCTTGTTCAGGGGCCTGCAAAATAGAAATGAGCTTGAGGATGTCATTTGTGATGTGACTACCAGAATTTCTCCAACACAACAGAAATTGTCTAATAAGTTGCCCCGTCCTGGTTAGAACCCTCTTCATCCTCTCATTTTTTAATTCTGGGTTTTAATTTGAAAACTTTAGGAGCAATAGAACTGTGGCTCAGTGAATAATGACATCCCTAACGGCCAGCTGAAGGGCGCTGGAGCCTCCCTAGTCTGATGTGGCTTCTCTCACTTGACCACCTGATAGCAATTCTTGACCTCGCCCCTGCCTCGCTTTCTCCCAGCTTCATTCCACCCCTGCTTGTCCTGCCAGAGCTTCTGACAGGTGAAAATTGTCCACCGTCTCACACTGTCTTTTTCCTCTTTGGCAGTGAAGGCAGCTCAGGGCCTCCCCACAGTCACCCTGCAGCCTTTGGGGACCAGCAGTGGTGGCGGCAGCGAGGCGGTCCCCAGCAGCGGGGGACAAGCCAGCCTTCCAGCAGCACCATCACCTGCCTTAGTCAAAGGTCGGTGCATACTCATCTCCCGAAGCCGATTCGAGGCAGAAGTCGACTATTCAAAAGAACTCATCGCAGTGTTTCAACAGCTGGGTTCCAGGAAATACGGCAAGTAATTGGCCTCTGTGTGGGATGTTTGGGGTATTTGTCTTGTCTTTGAAGATACTGGGGAAAAAAAAGAACTTTGTTGATAGCACATTCCTGGTCTACTCGTCTTACCCTAGAAAGATGATGGCTAGATTGCTCCAGGCTGTGAATGCTTTGTAGGGGCTATTTTCTCCTTAACGTCTCCCAAAGAGGCTGATTACTGTCCAATCTAGTATGACTAATGATATAGTTCCACTTGTTTCAGAATAAAGCTGTGCATCATAGAGTTTTCAATAACTGCTTTTTAAAAAAAAAAAAAATCACAAAGCCTTTATCCATAGGTCCATCTGGGTGGTCTTGAACCACCAACCTTTCTTTTAGCATCTCAATACACTAAGCATTTGCTCTGTTTTTTTGCTCAACTAAGGACAAGCTAAAACCAAATGGGTGTGGAAGGTTGAAGCAGAACTTTAGGTCATACTTCCTAGAAGACATTGATGAGGGAAAAGGAGAAAATAATTGGAACTATTTTGTCTTTAAATTCACCATGGTTTTCCCTGGCCCAACTATCTGTGTCTCCCAAAACTCCTACTTCAGCATTTTAAACTCAAACCAGGCCCAGTCCACTGCCATGGAATAAGATCTAGGAAGCATCAAAAGAAGAGGGAGGGAATACCCAGAGTCCCTGTACCACAAAGAATTTGTTGACACTAGAACATTTCGGGAAGTAGCTTGTGATAAGAGCCAGCAGTAATGAAGGAAGAAGTTCAAGCTGCACTGAAGGCATTTACAAAAATTAAGGCCCCAGGAATTGATGGGATACCAACTGGCATGTTTCATCTAACAGGTGCTGCTCTGGACGTGCTCACCAGTCCATGCCAGGAAACCTGGCTAACTGACTGGAAGAGATCCATATTTGTCCCCATTCCCAAGTAATGTGATCCAACAAAATGAGAAAATTATTGAACAATATCATTACTATCACATGCAAGCAAAATATTTCTGAAGATCGCCTGAAAACAGCTAGACTAGTACAAAGAAAATTGCCAGAAGCTCATATTGGGTTTAGAAGAGGCTGTGGCACCAGCGATATCATTGCTAATGTCCTAGGGATCCTGGCTGAAAGCATAGAATATCAGAAGAATATCAATTTGTGTTTTAGTGACTATGCAAAGGCATTTGACAGTGTGGATCATAACAAACTATGGTGTATGTTGAGAAGAATGGGAATCCTAGAACACTTAATGATGATGTACGAATCCTATACCTAGACTAAGAAGCTGTTGTCCAAACAGAGCAAGGGAATACTAGATGGTTTAAAATCAAGAAATGTGTGCGTCAGGACTGTAGCCGTTCTACTTATCTATTCTGTCTGTATGCTGAGCAAATAATTCGTAAAGGCAAACTCTGAAGAAGAATGAGGCTTTAGGATAGGAGGAAGACTCATGAACAACTTTCATTAAGCAGGTGACACAACCTTGCTTTGCTGAGCTGAAAGTGAGGAGGACTTGAAATGCTTGTTGCAGAAGATCAAAGACTTTAGCCTCCAATATGGATTATATTGCAGTATCAAGAAGACAGAAATCTTCACCACTGGGCAATAGGCAGTATCATGATAGATGGAGAAAAGACCTAAGTTGTACCTGATTTCGTCTTACTTAGATAACAGATAACTTAGTTAACACCCTTGGTACCAGCAGTCAGGCAATCAGGAGACATATAGCATTGGAAAAGTCTGCTGTCAGTGACTTCTCCAAAGTGCTGAAGAGCAATGATATCAGTTTATAGATGTGCCTGATTGAGGCCATGGTCTTTTGGGTCACTTGCAATGCACCTGAGAGACAATGGATAAGGATAAAAGGAAAAATCCATGTCTTTGAGTTTTAGTGTTGGAAAAAAGTTGCATATCCCGCAGACTACAAAAAGAATGAACAATTTTTTTTT